TGTTCCCATTATACGATTCAAACACGTGCGCCTGACCCTCCAGGTCAGCAGGGGCGGCGGCTTTAGGCGGTAAGCCTACTCCGTGGGCCGAGACACGCAAACCAGTGCACTTGGGCCCCAGGTGGGGCCGCACACGGGCACCGTCAAGCAAAACTGATGGCTGCGGGGACTCAGGAGGCCTCAGAAGCTCCGGCACGCCGTTGTGCCTGACGCCTCGCACCTCGTCGAACTCACCGAAGTTGATACCCTGGCCGTACTGCAGCACGTCCAACAGGTACCACACAGCCTTCAGGTCCTCGAACGTCTGTAGCCTGAGCCACTTCTCGTCACAAGTAACCCCGAAGAAATGTACAGCGTCACCAGGTAAGGCTTGGGAAACATCTGACACTTGATCGTCAGTTGCCTGTCTCTGATGAAGCACGTCGCCAGGAGCATCTGGCTTGCGTCTGACACCCTCAGATCCCGTAGAACCTGAGGTATGGTTTTTCTCACTGCGTGAAGCAAAAGGTTTGGATGAGAAACTCGCCATCGGCCTCGTCGAGCCATGCCACCTAGCCCAGGACGGGTAGTGGCTAAAGCTGCGGCGCGGTCTTCGGCTTCTTGAGCTTGGCGCCCAAAAGGGCTTGGGTGAAGGCTCGCTTATCGCCACGGTGCTTCTCCCAGAAAGCTTCGGCAGCTGCTTCGTCTTGGAAGGCATCGTCCATTTCCGCGTCGTGTGGCGTGGGCACATGCTCAGCACCGTTGACGTGGGACTCAGATGCATCAGCGCCAGGATCAGCAGCGGCACGATGCACAGCGAACAACTTAACGAACTCCTTGAACTCGGCCGTCTCGAGCATCGACTTGATCGCGTCTTTGCCTTCCAGGGCCTCAGGAGGGAGAGACAGATCAACAGGCCGCCTGTCACCACCGTCAGCAGCTTGACCAGGAAGTGACTGCACATGCTGCCGTTGCAGTTCAGCCACCTCAGCCTCCGCTGCGACCTTGCGCGCCTTGATCTCGTCCGTCTTGGCCGGAATGAGCGTGCGTAACGCATGCGGGCGGTGGCACAAGGGCCTTCGGTGGAGCTCTTTGTGGGGCCACGAAACGTGTGAGGGATGGGCCGACATGGGTGCGCGTGACGCATGCGGGCGGTGGCGCTGGGGCCTTCGGTGGAGCTCCACTGAAGGCGCTCGGGGGGTCCCTGGGGTCGTCCTGGAACGTCGGAAGCTCTGAAAAGCGACAACGTAAGTGGCCAGGCGCGTTTTCTCCACAGATGGCAGGTGGTGTAAAAGCTATGAGATTGGCGACCCTGGCACCGAGAGGCAGCATCCAGACGCGCAGGTGGCCAGCGCAAGAGTTGGTGTGATGGACTGCACTGAATTGTTGGCGGCCGGGCGTCGCGCCGGAGCGGGCTCTCCTGCTCCACGGGCATTTCCACCTTTGATTATCAGCTTGATTACGGCGGTTTTGTGGTGATCTCCGTTTCCTTCCAATGTGTGCTCGCCGAGGAACAAAAAACACCACGGAGGCTCCAAAGACGCTTCCAAGAGGCTCCGAAGTGCCCTCAGAAGGCGCCACAGAGTCCCACGAAGGCGCAAGATGCCCCCGAGTCCCCAGAGGTCCCCATGATGCCCCCATGTGCACACACACACACACACACACGTACCTGCATACACACCAAGCAGCGCTCGCACATCATTATGGGATCTTCCTTCCCTTCGGTCGGTCAGTGTTCGTATTCCAGGCTTCCGCAACGCTGCGGCCCGTGCCGCCTCGTGGGCGCCCCGTGGGCGCCCCGCGTTTGGGGGGGCATGCCGAGGCTGCACCGCGTGGCCGCCCGTGCAGCCTCGTGGGCGCCCCCGTGCGCTGGGGGGACGTGCGCTGGGGGGGGGGCACCGCGGGGCCCGAGAGAATACACCCCCGGCGCCACCCTCGCCCCCTCCCACTCCAAGGATGGAGGAGTGAAAGGGGAGGACAGCGGAGGGGAGGAGGAATCGGCGCGGTGCTGGCGTAGATCCTTGGGGCCCGCAGGCATGCCGAGGTTGCGACAGCATGCCAGCCGTGCCGCCTCGGGGGCGCGTTGTGGGCGCCCCGCGCCTGGAGGTTTGCCGAGGAGTCGCCACGCTGTCGCCCGTGCCGCCCCGTGGGCGCCCGTGGGCGGGCACCCCGTTCTCCGGGGGGGGGGGGGCCCACGTTTGATGGGCTCGTTTTCCACCACCTTCCACCAGAAGTTGGAGGGGGGAAGGAGGTTGAGGAGGAGGAGGAGGAGGAGGAGGAGGGGGAGGAGGAGGAGGAGGAGGAGGAGGAGGAGGAGGAGGAGGAGGAGGAGGAGGACCCCCTTCCCACTCCTACTTATGGTGGCGATGGTGGAGAACAGGCCCGACAACGTTGCCGCCTCGTGACGGCCTCGTGGGCGCCTCGTGGGCGTTCCGTGCTTCGAGCTTTTGCGACGCAGCTTGCACCAAACAGCTTGCACCGCACAGGTTTCGCAGGGTCTCGTAGCTTTCGCCTTCAGTTCACACCATCGAGAGTCCAGCTTACACGGCATACCTTACACCGCATAGTTTGCATTTATTCTGTTGACATTACATAGCTTAGACGGCAAAGCTTACCCCCCATGGCTCACATTGGCACGGTGCAATAACGACATGTTCAGGATGCACGTCGACTAGCTTTAACATACGTGTATATATATACGTATGTGGATGAACACCTATATATATATATATATATATATATATATATATATATATGCATATAGATACACGAATACGTGTTCTCAAAGTGAACGGTCATCAGGGTCCCGAGAACACCGAGTGTAGCAGGTGCGTTGGTCAGATAATTCCGATACATGTTGAAGCAAACGCCCGGGTGGAAAAGAGAGGGGGAAAGAGAGAGAGAGAGAGAGTTTCCGTCACTCTCGTGCAAGGCGGCACTATTATGCCGATGACTAATTCGGCAGCCATCCCTCTCCTCCACTTGATCTTCCCTTATCTTCCTCATCTGATGTCCTCCCGCTGACAGATCACCATCCCCCTGTCGTCGTCATCTTCGTCCTTGTGATCCACTGCCTTCTCCCTCCCCCATCCCACCCTCCCTCCTCATGTCCATCCCCTTCTTCCCCACCCGTTGGTACCGTCCAGTGCTGGGGGTCACCTCTCCCGCGTATAGTTTCACATACACGCACACATACACACGCACGCACGCCAAGGATTTGACCACACGTTTGTTCTATATGTATGTTTGATCGGGCCGTCTTTGATATGGTCGTTCCTACTTGTTTGTTCTACCCACTCGGATCGTCTGCGGTCGTCTGCTTCTGGCCGTGCCGGAGGGTGCTCTCGCCTCGGCGCCTGCTGCACTCCCGCCTCCCCGGCTACCATCAGGCACCTGCTCTCCCCTCTCCCAGATCTTGGCCCCAGTGCGGGGGCCACGTGTCCCGCTGCAGCTGGGCGAGCACTCAGGCAGAAGGGCCACAAGGGGTGGGAGAGCGGAGGGGCTCGGCGAGGACTTCGGAAGATCGTCCCAGGGAGGACTTCGGAAGATCGTCCCGGGAGAGGACTCGGGAAGCGCCCTGCCGGTTGAGACCGTAAGTTCGCCGTCTGGAAGCGAGGACTCTCGTTTCAAGTCGGGCATGGCATGTCCCTCTACAAGTGGAGTATAAGAAATAGCAAGTTATCCTGGCGAAGGACCCAACCATACGCAAGTGTGAGAACCGCAGGGCAGGTGGGACGAAGCAAGGGGGATTCTCAATGGGCCACGAACCCTGTGAGGGGTGCGCCAAAATGGGGGGGGGGCCGCCATGCGAACCCTGCCACTGGGGCCTTCAGTGGAGCCCCCTTTGGGGCCACGAACCGTGGGAGGGGTGCGCCAAAATGGGGCGGGGCCGCCATGCGAACCCTGCCACTGGGGCCTTCGGTGGAGCTCCCTATGGGGCCACGAAACGTTGTACGTGGTGGGTGAAACGCAGGAAGGAGGAGGGGGAGGAGGGAGGAGGGGGAGGAGGAAGGAGTGAGGAACGCGGAGCGTTGTCTCTTCGAAACGAGGACCCAACACAGGATGGTTGGGAAACATTAGTCTGGGGACGATGTGTTGAGAAATTGTTTGGATGTCTTGGTGTATGCTTTGAGTATTTGCAATTCTTCGCCCCAAATTCGCCTGTAGCCGACTTAACTCTCGTTGAGCGGCTTGGGGGCTTCGCGGCCTCGGGATGGAGACCCTGGGCTCGCGGCCCAGGAGCTGCAGGTTTGCAGCCCCCGGAGGCGGTTCTTGGCTCGCGGCCGGCAGGTGAAGCCCCGGCCCCAGGCCCGCGCCGAGCCAGGAGGAGGAGGAGGAGGAGGAGGAGGAGGAGGAGGAGGAGAAGGAGGAGAAGGAGGAGGAGGAGGAGGACAGAGGGGGGAGGGAGTAGGAGGGGAGGAGGAGGAGGACAGGAGGGGAGGGATAAGCTGAAAACCAGCTGCGTGCCTGGAGGGCGACGACAGTGCTAAGGTCACATCTGTGACGCTGGCAAAGACAGCGGTGGCGGCGACGGCGAATGCGACCCGTCGTCCCCGCGCCGCACTCGCAGCAGGGAGCACGGCGTCGGGGAGCAGCGGTCTCTTGCTTTTTCCCACACCTCTGCCTCATCACGATCCCACTCCCGCCTCCTCCTCGTCCCCCCCTCCTCCGTCTCTTCCTTCCTCATCCATCCTCCATCCTTCTCCCGCCTTTCCCCAATCTTCCGCTTCCTCCATCCTCCTATGCTTCCTTATTCCGCGTCTCCCTGCCCCTCCCACTCCTCACTCCTCACTCCTCACTCCTCCTCCTCCTCCTCCTCCTCCTCCTCTCCTCCTCCTCCTCCTCCTCCTCCTCCTCCTCCTCCTCCTCCTCCTCCTCCTCCTCCCCCTCCTCCTGCTCCTCCTCCTCCTCCTCCTCCTCCTGCTCCTGCTCCTGCTCCTGCTCCTCCTCCTCCTCCTCCTCCTCCTCCTCCTCCTCCTCCTCCTCCTCCCATCTCCGCCCACTGCGGGCGGGCGGCGGAGGGCTCCGGGACCGACCTCGTCGCGCTCGCCGCCCTGAAGCAGGCGCGCCCCCGCCTCGCCCCCCCCCCCTCTGCCGGTGGGCGGGGGCGGGGGCACCGACAGCGACGGCGAGGGCGCCGACGGCGACGGCGACGACAAAAGCGATGGCGGCGACAGTGCGGCAGCGACGGCGGTGGCGCTGACGGCGATGGAGGAGGACGGCCAGAGCAAACCCAGGATGCATCAACAATGTTGCTATACACCCTTCCGTCCCCAGTCCCCTCCTCAGACCCTCGTTCTTGCAGGTCTTCCTTTCCAATGCGGGGAGCGCCGCCCTTGAAAGATGATCCCCCTGTTGGCATGCATCTCAGGCAAGCTTTCCTTGCGTAAGGGATTCGGCCTCCATTGTTCTAGCACAAATTAACGCACCGAGTTAGGATGGCAGCGTTCATGGAAGTGTCAAGCGACATCCCTTCGTTGGAAAGGACATCTGTCGTACATGCACAAGTGCTGCACGCATTCAAAGTTCTGACAATGACATGTGCGAGCGCTTTTTCGCGAGAGATCCCGACTCAGACCAGCTGTGGCTCAAGTGTGCGACTTGCCTGCGCCGGGATGCCCCGAGGCTCTACCGCAGGTGTGCTGGCTCGAGCGCTGGTGGGCGGACTTCTTCAAACAGGTCTCCATCGTTGAACGTCGGGGTACACCTTAGGCGATGCTTAAGAAAACCTAAGTTTTCGTCCTGAGTCTCGATTATTCTTAACTTTTCAATGTAAATCCCAAGATTTTGATAGAAGTTCTGGGTTGTATTCACTTTCTGAGACTATGAATGTCTTAACCCATGATTTCTTAAGCATTTCGCAGGGTGTAGGTCGGCCACGCACAGATGGGGGGGAGGTGGAGGGGCGAAGGCGTCTTAGGAGCACCCTTGCTTCTGAGAGGGCTCGGGCCTTGTCTGTAGACGTAAGCCCGGGGCCTTCTAAGTAGCAGGGTGTCTCTAAGAAGCCGCCCTCCCTCCCCCTACCCCCAGGTGTCAGAAACCAACGCCGGGGTCGACACGGCACGGACCTGCCGCAGGCTACGTGGTCGCATCGGTCCTTGTCTTGGCTTCTGGCGGCGACCGTGTGTGGCTGAGCCTGGCCCTGGCCCCCTTCTGTTAGGCAAGGCAGGAGGGTGCTTGCTTATTCGGTTGGGCGTTGCTTTGTATTTTCGTTCGTCCATACAGTTCCCGAGATGTCGCTGCTACTTTCCGCATGTTGCTATTGTGGGATGGTTGCTATGTATCGTCGTCACTTCCGATGTTTGTTTTGGATAGTGTGCTAGCTGGCGTGTTTTTGGAGTGACGTCTTCATCAAAGGATGCATATCGGCACTGGCATTCGTCTGCATGCGTTGGGCGGGTCATGGGGCCTCGGCGTCGTTTTGCTGTGGTCTGCTTGCTCGTCAGAGCATGTGCTGGTCCAGTGGTTGCGTGCGGCGTCATGCAAGCCGTGGGATTGTCATCGCAAATCCGTTATGTTCGAGATGGGCCTCGCTATAGATTCACTCGTGTATGGCGTTGACGAGGGCGTGGTGCAGTATTTTCGCCGCAAGGTTTCCAGGGTATTCCTCAAGGTCTTCGCGGTGCTCGTGCTGGCCTCGCACGCCCAAAGTTGTTCTTCATGGCTCCTTGTAGTCCCGCCTGCTATCCTCAATGGGATTCCTCGCGATTCATGTTTGTACACGATGAGGTGCACGTCCGGAGCAGTACAGTCAAGTCGTTGTCGGGCCTCTGGGAACTTCTTTGGGGCCCCCTAGAGGCCTCTTTGGGTCTCTTGGGTCCTCGCGGGGGCGTCTGGGAGGCCTCTTGGGGGCCTCTGGGAGGCCTTTTGGGGGCCTCTCGGAGCCCCGTGTGGGCGTCTTTGGGGCGCTCTTGCGCTGTCTGGTCCCTTCGGAGACTGTCTTGGGGTACTATTGGGTCGTCTTGGGGGCTTTTTGGTGCATCGCGGCGGCCTCCTTGGGCTGCCTGGGGGCCCTTTTGGGCCGTTTTGGGGCCCTCTTGAGGGCTTCTTTGGCCGTCTGGGGGCCACTTCGGAGGCTGTTTTGGCCGTCCTGGACCTCTGAGAGTCGAAATAGGCGGGAACGCTGAAATCTTCAAAAAGTCATAGGAAAATCTATGGTTTTTGGCTTCTGGAGGTGCTCTTGGGGGTCCTCTGGGGGACCTCTTGGGGCCTCTTAGGGGTCTTTGTAGGCCCTCTTGGGGCCATCTTGGGCCGTCTTGGGGCCGTCGTGGGCCGTCTTGGGGCCATGTCGTGCCGTCTTGAAGCCTTGTTGGACCCCCAAGAGGGCCAACAGGCCCAACTCATTGATTTCCTATAGTTGTTGGTAGGTTTTTAGGGCCAGGAGGGGAGGGGCCACTTTGGGTCGGCGGAAGTGGTGTGGCCCCTGGGGGGGGGGCGTAGGGGGGTACATAATAATGTAACACAATAAAATATGTAGCAATTATGCTATCATTGGATACATTGGATACGTTGCATTATAGCCTCCGCGGACCTGCCTCCGGCAACACGTCACTTCTGGTCATGTTTGTACACGATTCCTCTCGCTTCGCGGGGTGCACGTCCGGAGCACGTACAGTCCAGTCGGTGTGGGGCTTCTTGGGGGCCTTTTTGGCTGCTTCTTGGAGGCCTCTTGGGGGCCTCTCGGGGCCTCCAGGGGGCTTCTTTGGGGCCTCTTGGGACCCCTGCGGGGCCGTCTTGGGCCGTCTTGGTGCGTTCTTGCGCGGTTTGGCCCCTGCGGGGGCCGTCTTGGGGGCCTCTCGGGGCTCCCTTGGCAGTCTCATGGCGTCCTCTTGGGCCGTCTCGGCGGCCTCCTGGATGTTTTTGGGGCATCTTTAGGCCCTGTTGGAGGTTTTTAAGCCGGTTTGGGGGCCCTCTTGGAGACTTCTTGGGCCGTTTTTGGGCCATTCTGGAGGCTGCTTGGGCCGTAGACTTTCTGTGCCCTGCCTGCTGGAAATCTTAGTCCGTACCAGACTGGCTTGTCGTTTGCGGCCGCAGGAAAAAACAACAACTGGCGCAATGTGTCGGTGTGAGAGGTTTTGACCTGCTCGTCTGCCGCCGCGTGGGCTTCGAACGCCGTTCGGCCGTCTCGGCGTCGTCCAGAGTGCCAGTTGCGCGCATCGTGGAAGTGATCAGGCGCCTTTGGGGCCTCTGGGGGGCCCCTTTGAGCTGTTCGGTGTAGTTCGGAGCATTTACTATCCAGTCGTTTGGAGGACTCCTAGGGTCCTTTGGGGGGGGGGGGCTGTTGGGGGCCTCCTGGGGGTCTCTTCGGGGAGTCTTGGACCGTCCTGGGGCGATTTAAATTTCTTGGGGACCTTTTGGAGGCCTCTTGGGGGATTCTGGGGGGCTTCTTGGGGGCCTCTCGGATCCCCGCGGGGGCGTCTTGGGCCGTCTTGATGCACTCTTGCGCTGTCTGGTCCGCTCGGAGGCCGTCTTGGGGGCCTGTAGAGGCTGCATTGGGGCTCTCTTGGGGTCCTCTTGGGCCGTCTTGGGGGCATCTTGGGGCGTCTTGGGGGCCTCTGTGGGCCGTCTTGGGGCCCTCTTGGGCCGTCTTGGGGCCCTCTTGAGGGCTTCTTGAGCCGTCTTGGGGCCATTTTGGAGGCTGCTTCGGCCGTCCTTGGGCTCTGAGGGTCGAACTAAGCGAGAAAGTTAAAAACTATCAAAAACCTTAGGGAAAATTGATGATTCTGGCTTCTGGATGCGCTCTTGGGTGTCCTATTGGGGCCCTCTTGGGGCGTCTTGGGGGCTTTTTGGGCCGTCTTGGCCCGTCTTGGGGCCATCTGGAGCCGTCATGAGGCCCTGATGGACCCCCAAGAGGCCCTGTTGGACCCCCAAGAGGGCCAACATGCCCAAATCATAGATTTTCCATAGGTTTTGGTAGGTTTTTGAGCCCCAGGAGGGGGTCGTCAGCCTGGGTCGGTGGATGTGGCGTAGCGCTGGGGGGGGGTAGGGGGGGAGACATAATAATGTAACACAGTATAAGACGTGGCAATTATGCAAGCATTGGACACATTGGATCCATTGCATTAGGGCTTCCGCTCCGCTGCGCGACCTGCCTCCGGTAACACGTCACTTCCGGACGTGGATTCTATAGGCTTAGGCCACATCCGCCGACCCCTCCATGAACTACTGCGGAGGCAAGGAAATTATAGATGAGACGGAAAAGGAGGTTTCGCTTTCGGCGGGTGCCCGTCGCCGCGGTTGGACGCGGCTCGAAAATCCAATGCGTTCGGGCTCCAGGTCGGGTCCAGAGTCTGTTGTCTGCCACCTTTCGGGCAGAATTCCGAAGCCGGGGCGAGGAAAAGTAGCAAGAATGCGAAGTTCAGGGTAGTCAGTGGCACGCTGTGAGATGTCCGCTGGGATCTAGTGGCGAGGATGTTGGCGGGCCTCTTCGAGGCAGTTTCGAAGGGTCTTGGGGGCTGTTTTGATGTTTCGTTTGGACCTCTTGGGGGCTCCTTGGGGCCTCTTGGGTGCCTCATGGGGGCCTCTTGGGGCCGCTTGGGGGCTTATAGGGTCCTCCAGAGAGCTTCGTTGGGCGGAGCGCTGGAATTCGCGGTTCGTGGTCTCTCTCTTGGGCCTTTTTGGGGGCCGTCTTGGAGTTCTCTTGGGCCGTCTAGGGCGCCTCTTGGGCCACGGTGGAGTTTCTTGGGGTTGTCTTTGGGGCCTCCTGGGGGCCTCGTGGGCAGTCGTGGGGTTGTCCTGGGGGCCTCGTTGGGGCCTCGTGGATGGCTTTCATCGCTGTGAATGCTAACAAGTTGGATCTGTTGAAAATGCACGTTATCCCGAGGAAATTTCAAGATATTGTTTTTTTTGTGGGCTTCTTGGGAGGCCTCTTGGAGGCTTCCTTGGGTGTCTTGGCGGCCTCTTGGGCCGTTTTGAGCTCATCTTGGGCGTCTTGGAACGATCTTTCGGCGACTTTGGAGGCGTCAAGTGCTGTCGTACAGCTCAAGAGCGAGCCCAGGGAGCCCAGACCGCCCCGGGAGAGTTCGCTCCGGGACCACCCTCGGCCAAGGGGGAGGGGTCTAAATCCCGGTTTGGGGCCCCTGGGGGGGGGGGGGCATTCTGGGGGGGAAACAATCTCACACGCCTGGAGACCTACGAAGAGTCGGCGGACTTGAGCTCTTTGACCGATAGCATGCTTGTCTCACAGGCAGAGACCCCAGGACCGCCAGGGCCAGAAATGGAGCCGAGAGCGTGACCCGAGCTCGCGCCAGAGCGATCGCTCGCGCTCGTGCTGTGCTCTCCGGATAGTCTGGGGGCGGCTGCGCCGCTTCGGCGGGGACGGGTATGGCCCCCATGGGGAGAAGCGAGTTGTACCCCCGGACGGGTTTTCTTGATGGCGGTGCGTTCCTCCGCGTCCGCCCGCGTGCGTTGTTTCTTTGTGTTGCTGGTTGTCGTTTGCAGCCCCGTCCTTGGGTTGCGGGCTGACAGTAGCGCCCGCACCCCCGTCGGCAGAGCTCATTTGACTGAGCTTCCCGAGGTCCGCGACCGACCGACCGGCCTCGTCCTCGTCCTCGTCGTCGTCCTCGTCGTCGCCGTTTTCGACCTCGTTTTCGTCATCGTCCTCGTCCTCGTCCGACCTCGACCTCGTCCTCGTCGTCGTCCTCCTCGGACGACCACCAGGACGAAAGCGACGGCGGCGACGACGATGACGTCCTCCTTGGAGGGCGGGAGCGGGAGCGACCGCCGCCAGGCGAGCGACAGCCTGGCCGGCTCCTCGGACAGAGAGGCGCGGCCGGGGGCGCGCGCGTTGCCCGAGCGGGGAGCGAAGGAGACAGTTCTCGGGGGGTGGGGGGGGGGGGGGGGGCGAACGAAAGTGGGGGGATAGGGAAAGGGTCAGGAGGGGAACAAACACACAGACACAATTAATCGTCGAGTCCAAGGAAAATATGGGAAAATATGGGAAATGGGGGGGAAGACAAAAACCCAGAAAATATAGGAAAATATGGGGCATATTTTTAATTGTGTGTATTTATTTGTGTGTCCTTGGGCCCCTTCAAAGGGGGGAATACGAAATCTGCTCCATGCAGCAGGTTTCGGCCCTGCCGCCGGGCCTATTCCTCGATACATGGGCGCCTCCTGGCGCCGGGCGGCGCCGGGGAAATCAGCTACACGAGCTGATTCTCAACCCCCCCCTTTGCTATCCCCCCCTTTCGCCCAGCCCGAGTGGAGGGGGCATGAGTGTTCGCCCTCAGCGAGACGGCTGGCTTCCAGGGGGGAAGGAGGGAGGGTGGCCATTGGCGAGGAAGAGGATGCGGAGAACTGGAAGGAGGGAGCGGGGGGAGGAAGGGAGGACGGGCATGAAAGGGAAAGAGCGGAGGGGGTTAGGGGGGGAGGAGTCAGACATGGAGGAGAAGGAGGAGGAGGAGGAGGAGGAGAAGGAGGAGGAATCGGATAAGAAAGATGAAGAGGAAAACGACGATGGAGGGGAGATGTGGATTGGAATAAGAGAAGAGAAGGCGGACGGGGAAGAGGAGCGGACGGAGGAGCCAGCGGAGTGGGAGGACGGAGGTGGAGGTAGAGGGGAAGGAAGAGGAGGATGGGGAGGAGGAGGGGGATGAGAAGAAGATGAGGAGGAGGGGGGAAGCGGGAGGAGGGGGAGCGGGTGGAGGAGGGGCAGAGGGGTGGCGAGCGGGGCAGGCATGAAGAGGAAGAGGCTTTTGGTTTTGACGGCTATGGGTGGAGGGCTACACTCTACACGATGCTTAAGAAAACCCAAGTTTTCGGCCAGAGTCTCGATTATTCTTAATGTTTCAATGTGAATCCTAAGATTTGAATAGACATTCTGGGTTTTTAGTCAATTTCTGAGACTACGAATTTCTTAACCCATGATTTCTTAAGCATTTCGCAGGGTGTACAGGCAAACACGGGGAAGCAGCCCGCATCCCGACCTGCCCAACGCAGCGTTGCGGGTGCCCTGCCAAATCTCACAAGCTCGAAGCCCACTGAGCGTGGCCGATGCTGTGCAGAGCCGGTCCAGGACCGGACTCAGAGGGACTCGTCCATGCCAAGCGGCCTGACATGTTGGCACCAGGGCCAGCTGAGCGGCTCCACGCCGGCGGCAGAGTCCTTCCCCGCAAGCATCCTCGGCTCTCAAACGCAGCCTGGCGTGGCACATTACTTTGCACATCTTCCGACAGTGACGCGGATTAGTAGCATAGCTTTCCCAAATTACAGGCGTTTGGATAGTTTCGTTGTTATTGGGCCACGGGATCCTCCTTTTTGTCCACCTTCTTGTCTCGTTCTACCAGCATTGAAACCATGATCATTGCAATGCTGCCACACTAGCAAGCTGACATACCTCGGCCAGACGATTACATTCCAAGAAGCCGCGGCGACCGCAATCCAACACCGGATACAAGCTGCGTGGGCCTGCTTCACAGTTCACAGACAAGAGTTGACAAGCAAGCACTACCCATTCAAACACAGGCTGAGGCTTTGCCGTGGCACCGTCATACTAACGGCGAAATACGGCGCGGAAACGTGGACCTTGACAGAGCCACTCCGACAACAACCACGCCGCACTCAACGACGGATGGTCCGGCGATCATCGAAACACCGAGGTTGGCGCACAAACGCCACCCTGCGAACGCGCACCGCCCTAACGACAGACAACCACAGCAACCACGACGCAGACAGCGACCATCCTGACGACCCCAGCGACCACGCACGACGCATCCAGCGACCCCCCTTTCCCTGCAGAGCAGACCAGCACACAAGAAGAAACCAGTGACGCGCACCAGATCCACGAGCAGACGATGGACGACGACGAGATCCGCCAGAGCGCACGCAGAGCTGAGGAGCGCATGAGCAAGCACGATATCCCTGACGTAGTACAGATACATCGAACAAAGGTTTGACGTCGGGCCGCGCGCATTGCAAGCCATCCGCAGCACCGATGGACACCGAGCGTTGAACTGGAGCCCCAGGCACGACACGAAACAACAAGGTCACTGGCAGCATGGTGGCCAAAGAAAGCGGTGGGACGACTACGTGAGAAAGTTGTTGCAGGGGTTACATACGAACGCCAGTGACCAGGTAACGTGCAGCGACACCAACGACGCCGTCCATCCATGACGATACCTCCACTACGACTGTAACAATGTGAGATGGTTGACAGCCGCTACAGACACGACGATATGGGACTCGCTTGAGAGAGTTTTCATTACATGCATCAGCTGAGGGCGCAAGCTCCCCAACACCAACTGCACCAATAGCCGCTCCCACCCCCAGCGCCAGCACCAATGACCACCAACACTGACAGTAATACAACATCACTGATTACATAACAGCACCGGCTACACCTCTGACCACCAACACCGACACCAACACAACAACACCGACAGCAACACCGTCAGCGACGCAACAGTGCCACCAACACACAGCAACGACGACCGACGACCATCAACAGTAGCAGCCACGACACTGACCGCATGGATACGATCTTGACCAGGCCCATTATTCCTTCATGTTTACACGCGTCTTGATCCTTGCCTATTTTGCGCACTGGTTCTCGCAGCATTCCATCCACGACTTGTATTCGCAAATGTGAGTCCACGGCCTCCTGCGCCCTGCCCAAAATGGCACGGGCACACCTGTGTGCCCGACTCCGGCGCCTTCGCTTCGCTTCGCTTTCCTAATTCGCCCCCGACCGCGTGTCAGGGCTACTGGGTTTCCAACACTCCAGCCGCCGCTGTCCTGACTTCGTGGGAGGCCCAATACCGCTCCAGGTGCCTGAGCCTTGTAGCGACGAGAAATGTTTGTGACGGTGGTTCTGCATATGGTTGGAGTTGCGGACGTGATTGTTCATTGTAGCGTCGATCAGTAGTTTGATATCGAATGGTATTTTATTGTTGCTGGAGTTGCGGCTCTGCCTCTCACCGCTCTCCTCACCGCTCTCGCCTCCCCTCCTCTGTCTCTCTCTCTCCCTCTCTCTCGCTCTGTCTCTCTCGTTATCATCCTTTTTATTCCTCCTGCTCTCTACTCCTTGTCCTCCCTATCCTGAGACATTCTTATTATGTTCTCCTGCTCTGCCACCTAGGGGGCCGATAGCCGCTGGATCCGGGACCTTCCACGCTACCTGCCGAAAACATGCGGAGCCACATTGCAAAATGCGTAGCAGGATGGGATTGGGCGCACATCCCGCTCGACAGTCCGAAATGTGGTTGCTGCCTCGGCGCCGCGCGAACCTTTCTGCAGGGTCGAAGTCCCGCATGGGCACCGCGCACACTTTTCGCACCCAGCTTCGTCAACGCACGAGCGGACGAATATGACGCCCTCGCCCCGGCGCCGCGCAGCTGTTGTCCGAAGGTGGCGTGGGCCTCCGCGGCGCGGCGCGCGCGCTTCCCTGGCAAGTTTCGGGGGGGGGGGGTCGGGGCCCGCGCGAGCGGGGCGCCTTCGTCGACCTCGCCCACGCTCCGTGCGCGCATGTCGCTGGGCAGTGGCGTTCCCGCGCGGGCGCGGCGCACGGCCCGTCTCGTCTTCCGAATCGCATGAGAAGCGGGAGTTAGGGAAGGAGTGTGGCACAGAGGGGTGTGGTGCCAATCGTGGACATAGGGGTACTGTCCACGACAGGTGACACTGCCCGATTCAGGATTGTCACCACATCCTTTTCTGCCACACCTCTTATCCGACCTCCGGAATGAGAAGCGGGAGCGGCAGTGGGGTTGCGCGGGAGCAGGCGAGATGCCGACCTCGCCCATGCACCGCGCAGTTTGCGAGTGATAGGGACAGTGTTGTGTCAGCGCGGCGCATGCTTCGTTTCCGCCGCGCCCATGGAAAAGGTTTGGCGCTCCCGCCCATGCGCGGCCAGCGTAGTTTTCCCATCACCAGGTCGTCGGAAGCGGGACCGCGCGCGAACGCCTTCTGTTTCTTACGTGGGCGTGCGGTCCAGTTCCAGTATCCCGGCGTGCCACACTTGATTCTTATGTTTCAATCAGTGGCGAAGCGTCCTGGCGTGTCTAGATGCTTATAAAATAATGTTATTAGAACATGTTTAGCTGTGGCTGCCTTGTTTTATCACATCGGGCTTACGTTCTAAGAACATTGTTTTTGTTATGAGAGCATTCTTGGGTTCTAAGAACATTCCGTGGTAGGCCTATAGACATGCTGGGACGGTCGGTCCCTGCTCAACT